GACCACGACCGTTTTCGCTTGACGTTGTCGTAAGTGATCCACTTTTCATCATCAGTGACCAACCGCTTCAGAAATGGGTCGATTTTGTTGCGATTCAGCAGCGATTCGCAGATGGAAATTCGGTCCATGAGGTTTTATTGCGTTAACTCGTGTGGCACCCATACATCGAGCTTCTTTTTGTATCCAGCCTTATTCAAATGGTTCCAAACGATTTTTTGTGCAATCTTTAGCTCTTGGGCAATCGAAATAGTGCTTACATGACGGTCGGACTCGACAATGTTCATGATTTTATCGATATTTTCGACAATTGGCCTTCCAGTGCGTGATGCATCTTTGACATCGAAATTACCGGAACGGAATCGACGAAACTAAAATTGCGCGTGATTGGCTGTTACAGTATCAGGACCATAAACACTATTCACATTTTCAGCCGTCTGGCTTGCGTTTTCGCCTTTATCGAAGAAAAACTGTAAAATATAGCGTATTTTCTCTTTGCTAGTGTCCATCTTTGACTCGCGCTCAAACAAAACTGAGTCAACTAATTACAAAACTGTCAGAAAAGTTTTTTTAGTACGAAATCTCATCTTTCTAACGCCATCTAGTGGAACCCGATCGGACTTATACAACGCGAGATACAGATAACTAAAGCCATCTATTGGAAAAATAATGGATTTCTTTTTACTACACCTGATATTAATGTAGGTGTCCTTCAAAAAGTTAGGGACAATTTTCGACATAGACTGGAGCTATGGATACAAGTAAATGGTCAGGTTTTCGAACACCTGAGGTAATTAAACGCAAGCCCAGATCTTGCCTTGACTGGCTGGGTCATTTACCGATCTTACCTTGACCGACCGGGCCGTGCCCCGATCTTGCTGTATAAGTTAAAAGGTATTTAACAAAAAGGTTTTTCATTATAGGTTTTTGGAAAGCTCTTGATGTAAGCTAGAAGAATATGTCATGAAAAGTAGGTGGTTCCGTTAAGAAGTTGAAAGTAACTTTCATCTGACCTTCAAGCAACTATTCAAGATAACACTAATGGCACCATCTTATCATCGTCCCTGTCGAAACCATATAACTTTTGTCTAAAACATTTTTCCATCCAAGCACTTTTTGCAATGATAATCGAGATGCACTATTAAAATAGGGCACCTTGTATATATACATTCATTTTTGTGTGTATACAGGGTGTTCCATTTTAAAAAACGCACCTGGATAATTCTTCAACGAAGCATTTTCATAAAAAATTTTTCGCATAAAAGTTGTATGATTTCAAGACTTAAAACAACTATACTATTTTGTTTACAAATGGTACCACTTTCGAGATATTTACTGATCATTACTTTTTTTAAATGGAAACCTCAATTTTTATTATGCCGTTTCTTTCTATCAACTAATTTAAACAACTTTTGTCTGAAACATTTTTTTATTTGCCTAATATTTTTTTAGATATTTAAGGAAAACTTGATAACTTTTTCAATATTTAACTCACGATATCTCGCTAACTATTTATCGGAAGAAAAAGTGGTACTAGACTTTTTTGCTCTACGTGATCTCAAGAATATATTGTTACAATAGCACCTTGACTTTTATTAATTTGATGATTTTGAAATTTCCAAAAGTCAGTAAGTTAACAAAAGTCAAGGCGCTATTATAGCAATATATTCTTGAGTTTAAATAGAGCAGAAAAGTTTAGTACCACTTTTTCTTCCAACAAATAGTTAGCGAGATATCGTAAGTTAAATATTGAAAAAGTTATAAAGTTTTTCTTAAATATCTCAAAAAATGTTAGGTACATAAAAAAATGTTTCAGACAAAAGTTGTTTAAATTAATTAGTAGAAAAAGACGGTGTAATAAAAAATTAGGGTTTTCATTTAAGAAAAGTAATGATCAATGTATATCTCGAAAATGGTACCATTTGTAAACAATATTTTTAAACAATATAGTTGTTTTATGTTTCCCACAGTAATTATTCACTATGGAAGTGATGAACTACGGGGTCCTTATTTCTTCTGTCACGGACACATACACACATGCGTGCACATTTGGCCCGAAGGCCAAAAACAACATATTTTTGAAAGGCTGTAACTTTGCGAAAAAAATTGTAGAGACTCCATTTTTTTCAAATTGAAGGGAAAGATTTGAACTTTATGACGATGCAAACGGCGTCCTCGAAAGAAAAATTGTCCACGTCCATGCATTCTGTCAAACTTTACAATTTTCAGTATACCAAACATGCCCTTAGATGGGGATACAGGGGTTACAGAGGTAAGGGTGCATTGCATGCAAAAAATGGAGATACATTCTTAAAGTAGAGACTTCAAGCTTTATTTTGAAAAAAAATCAGTAGTCTACAATAATTTTTCGCGAAGTTATCGCCAGTCAAAGTTGGCCAATTTTCGGCAATAAATTATCTGCGCCATAATTCTTTTGAGTATGGTATTTATCAAATAAAAAAATTGTCCATAAGGAAGATTCATATATTCGAGAGGCCTCTCTAACTATATAAACGTAAAGTCACTCCCGCTTCCCTTTTAAGGGGTATGGGAATAATTTCATAATTTTAAATGTAACCCCTTATAAAATGTTGCATATTTGGATTCTACGGGAAAAAATAAGTAAATTTTATCTAAAACATTTGTTTGGAAAATGCTTCTAACAAAAGTTATAAGCATTTAAATCTTTAGCGATTTCATTCATGATTGAACTCCATTGACACAAAGTTGCGTTCGCGATACAACAAAAATAAAAAAGGCTTTAGAGTACATACTTGATGTTAACTAAAAGAAACTTAAATAAACACATTTATCGGGAAACGTAAATACAGATCACAGACAAATACAGATCATCTATGTCAATGGAATTCAATCATGAATGAAATCGCTAAAGATTTAAATGCTTATAACTTTTGATAGAAACATTTTCCAAACAAATGTTTCAGATAAAATTTATTTGTTTTTTCCAGTAGAATCCAAATATGCAACATTTTATAAGGGGTTACATTTAAAATTATGAAATTATCCCCATCCCCCTTAAAAAGAAAGCGGGAGCGACTTTACGTTTATGTAGTTGGAGAGGCCTCTCGAATACATAAAACTTCCTTATGAACAATTTTTTATTTGGTAAATATTTTTAAAGTTATAGACTTGTAACATTTTACGTGGACCACCCTATATAATGTGTGTATATTGTGTGTACACAACCTTCCACACTATTTATTTTTTAATGTACGAGGGCTGTATGATAAGTACCCGTGTTTAATGACAGACAGTGCTACTAATCCAAAATCTATATATCATCGTATAACTTTCGAACGACGCCTGTCAAAATTTCAAACAGATTTATCGAGTAGTTTTATTTAGCTGTTGAAAGTGGGCAAGTTCGTTTCTGTTTGCAACCATGGAAAGAAGAGCATTATTGGTCAGTGATTCAATTCCTTTTTTTAGAAGTTCCTTTTTGATGGAAAGATGTGAGGAAATCAAAGTGAAGTTATATGCTGTATAAGGACCATGCATCTTCGATAACTATCATCCAACCATAAACCAGATATTGGTTTAATGAATTCAAGCGTGGCCGAACATTCGTTTTTCATGAAGAGCGCCTAGGCCATCCAATTGACTACAGAATGACTACGGAGGATATAGTCAACAAAATTCATGATATCATATTAGCAGACCGCCGGGTGAATATCTGAGATATTGCTGGCATTGTAAATATCTCAATTGAATGCATACACAATATCCTACACTAAAAACTGGACATGAGAAAGATATCGGCGTGATGTATGCCGCGTTTATTCACAGTGAAGCAAAAACGGAATCGCATGACAACTTCGGAGCACTATTTGAATATGTTTAAATGCAATCCGAAAGAATTTCTGCGGCGTTTCGTGACTGTTAACGAAACATGTACCCATTACTACATGCCAGAAATAAAAGAACGGTCAAAAGACTTCACCCGGCGAATCTGCCCCAAAGAAGGCGAAAACAGTTCCATCGGTCGGAAAGGTCATGGCTACCATTTTATGGGATTCGCGAGGCATCTTCACCGACTATTTGGAGAAGGGAAAGACAATCACGGGGCAGTATTATGCTCATTTATTGGGACGATTCGACTGAATTGGTGAAAAAACGGCCCTATTTGGTGAAGAAAAAAATGCTCTTTCACTATGACAACACATCAGCTTACTTGTCCGCAATCGCTACAGCAAAATTGTTCGAATTACGCTACGAATTGTTGCCACATCCACCCTATTCTCCAGATTTGGCCCCAAACGATTTATTTTTGTTCCCAAACATAAGAAAATGGTTTGGCGGAAAGCAGTTCACGTCAAACGAGGAAGTCATCGCTGAAACAGAGGCCTATTTTGCGGAGGTCGATAAATCATAGTGTTTGAATGGTTTAAAAAAGTTGGAATATCGCTGGACTAAATCAAGCTAAAAGGAGATTATGTTGAGAAATAAATAAAAGAAATTAAAGAAAAATTCGTTTCCTTCCTTAACACGGGTACTTATTATACAGTCCTCGTGTACAGTGTCAAAAACTACATCGTATGAAACTTCTTTTGATTATAACTTTTCAATAAACATAATTTATTTCGTGATAGTTAAAATATTTTGGAAGTTACTTGATAAGATGACCTCAACAACATATGTCAAGGTCAATGTCCTAATTCCTTTAAACTGAATAATTATCCACATTTCTTTTGTTGATAACTTTTTAATAAACAACGAATAACAATTTTTTAAAACATAATTTTTTAAAAGTTATTTAGTAAGATAACTTCAATAATATAAGTTAAAATTAAAAAATCAAAGTTATTAGAGCTGACTCTATTTTTATCTCAATAACCTCAATAACCTCAATAACCTCAATAACCTATATTTAATATTTTTAGTAATACTATGATTATTATCTTGATTTATTATTATGATTATTATCATGATTATTACAGACTCTATTATTTTATATTAATAGAACTATTAATTATTTATCGCAGGTTGTTACAATACTTTTAGAACGTGGTGCTATCGTTGACCATCAGGATAAAGATGGAATGACCCCATTATTAGTCGCTGCGTTTGAAGGTCACAGAGATGTCTGCGAATTATTATTGGAATATGAAGCAGATGTAGATCATTGTGACATTACAGGAAGAACGCCATTGTGGGCGGCCGCAAGCATGGGACATGGATCTGTCGTTGCTCTTCTATTGTTCTGGGGTTGCTATGTTGACAGTATAGATAGTGAAGGTAGAACTGTTCTAAGTGTGGCTGCTGCTCAAGGCGGTACAGATGTTGTAAACCAACTGCTTGATAGAGGTATATATATAAAAATATATTATGCATTTACAAACATGTATGCATTTCTCCAATCAAATTTTTGCATTTTTCAAAATCCACATTTGAAATCCTTTAACTTATATTGCTTCTTTAGTTAGCAACATTGACTGTTTGATGACAATTCTAATTATGTTCTGTTTGAATGTCAATTATATTCTAATAATGTCATTCATGATAACAGTGATATTATAAAATGACATCGAGATATAGAAATAGCATACAGGGTGGGACAAAAGTCTTGATACACCCTCATAATTTTTGAACGAATCTACTACATGGGCTGAAAAGTCTTTGGCTTAACAATGAAAAAACGATTTTTTAATGAAAAAAGTGTTTTATTCCTCGACATAATCTCCATTTAGAGTAATGCACTTAGTGTAACGGTCCGCTAACATTTCGATGCCGGTCTTATAGTGCTCGGTGTCAAGTCCCTCAAAATAGGCATTTGTTTCCAACTTGACCTCCTCATTCGAGTAAAATCTTTTACCAGAGAGCCACTGCTTCAGTCGGGGAAAAAGGAAATAGGGCGCTGGGGGCCAGGTCTGGAGAATACGGGGGATGCGGGACCAATTCATAGCGCAATTTCTTTAATTTATCGGTCGTATCGCGAGCCGAGTGAGCTGGAGCATTGTCTTGGTGAAACAAAATTTTTTTCTTTGCCAAATGTGGCCGTTTGACCTTGACCTCGTCGTCCAATCGATCCAGTAATGTACAGTAATATTCTTTATTGATAGTTTTACCATGTTCAAGATAATCAATGAATATTATGTTATGCGCATCCCAAAAAATACTGGCCAAAACCTTGCCGGCTGATTGTTGTGTCTTCGGGCGCTTCGGACGGCTTTCACCAGGCAATAACCACTCCGCTGACTGCCGATTGGACTCCGGTGTGTAGTGATGGATCCATGTTTCATCCATTGTGACAAATCGACGCAAAAACTCCTTCTTATTGCGGTTAAACAGGGCCAGATTTTGCTTTGAAAGTCGAACACTTTCCGCTTTTTGCTCAATTGTCAAAAAACGCGGCACCCAACGCGCGCAAAGCTTTTTCATGTGTAAATATTCATGAATGATATGACCAACGCGTTCCTTTGAGATGCCTATGATGTTAGCTAGCTCACTCAATTTCATTTTGCGGTCATTCAACACGATTTCACTGATTTTCTGGATGTTTTCTGGAGTAACTGCCTCATTTGGCCTTCCTGAACGTGGTGCATCATTTGTGCTCATACGGTTACGACGAAACTCAGCAAACCAATATTTGATGGTTGAATTCGGTGGGGCAGATGTGCCGTAACATTTATCAAGCCATGCCTTTGCTTCAACAGTGTTTTTTCCCATCAGGAAGCAATGTTTAATCAAAACACGAAATTCACTTTTTTCCATAGTAAAGATAAATTCAGAGGTAACGTCACTTCGAAAGCTATAACTTGTACACGAGTCAACGAAATATCATGAAATTTTTACAGCATCTAAGTTAAGGTTGGTACTCTATAGGAAATATAAGGATTTTTAGTTTGTGGAGCCATCTATATGTCAGGCCAAAGACTTTTCAGCCCATGTAGTAGATAGAAAGTTGAAATTTGGAGAAGTTGTATAGGATCATGAAAGCTATTTTTTGTGCAGGATGGCATCCACCCCTATCTCCTTGGGGCACGAGGGCAGGGGTGACTTAAAAATCTTAAATGGCATAAAGGTCAACTGAGAGCTCATGTTAAAAGTGTTTTAAAGACGAAAAAATGTTTTCTGAGAAAGTCCGCTACGATTCTCCAATCGAAGGTTATGATCATAAAACAAAAATTTGCTTTTCCTTGTTTATTGCGTTACCGTTCTTTGCGTTACCCAGGGTCTACATGGTGAAGACGTGATGGTTATCAGACCCCGTGTGTGTGTGTGTAACGGAGATGAGGACTCTAGGGTTCGTCACCTCCTATTTTGTGACTCCTCCTCCTATTTTGTGACTCCAAACCCTCTCCGTTTCACGTACGCGTGTGTTTGTTTGTTTGTGTGTGTGTGTGTGTGTGTGTGTCTGTGTATGTGCGCGCGCGCGCGGGTATGGGTGGGTGAATATGTGTTTACAGTAAGTGTTCGAACTGTCGACCTTCTACAGTTTGACAGTGGGCCAGACGATTGGAAAAACTGGTTGTAATGTTTTTTAATATTTCGGGAGCAATTAATGCCACTTCGTCGGTAATTCGTAGTCGCAAATCGTTGAGATTTTGAGGTTTAATTCTATATACTCGGTTTTTCAAATAACCCCAGAAGATAAAGTCCAACGGAGACAGGTCAGGTGATCTGGGTGACTACTCGATTGCGCTCTTTCTTCCTATCCATCTTTCAGGAAAAGTGTTGTTTAAAATATTCCGCACTTGCAATCCAAAATGTGGAGGAGCACCGTCCTGCTAAAACTGAACTGAATCAAAATCTGGACTGAAAATATTGCGAAGAGTTGGTACAATATCGTCTCGGAGCATGACCTCATACCTTTGTGCTGTCAGATTGCCATCAATGAAAAATGGTCCTATTATGTGCTGTCCAACTATTCCCGCCCAAACATTTAGTTTTTGTGGATATTAGCTTTTGGATTCTCTCATCCAATGCCGATCTTTGCCGATCCTTGACACATCCCATATTTTGAAAACGATTACATGTTTTCTGTACAGTAGTTGCAGAAATGTAATCGGTGACCGTGAACGGTCATTTCGAAAGGTTCGAGATTTATTTAATGCTAAGTTTCGGCAAAGGAGACAAGGGATTTCTGTAGCCAATGTACAGAAAACATGTAATCGTTTTCAAAATACAGGTACAAAATACAATGCGTCAAAGATCGGCAAAGATCGGGTAGGCCGAAGATCGCTACAAATGAAGACATCTCGATAGAAATATTACAATCATTTGTAGAAGATCCTCATACCTCTACACGAAAAGCTGCCCAGGCTCATAACTGTAGTTATAAATCTGCGTGTTCTCAAAAATTCCACATTTCACCCATACAAAATAAATCTTGTTCAGAAATTAGTCGCACATGACTTTGATTGCCAATCCGAATTTTGTGACGTAATGATGCAAAAAATTGATGATCAACCGGAATTTCAAAACAAAATTGTTTTCTCAGACTAAGCTACATTTATGTTAGACGGTAAATAGATACAACAGTCGATATTGGAGTGATTCTAATCTGCATTGGATGAGAGAATCCAAAAGCCAATATCCACAAAAACTAAATGTTGAGGCGGGAATAGTTGGACAACACATAATAGGACCATTTTTCATTGATGGCAATCTGACAGCACAAAGGTATGAGGCCATGCTCCGAGACGATATTGTACCAACTCTTCGCAACATTTTCGGTTCAGATTTTGATTCAGTTTGGTTTCAGCAGGACGGTGCTCCTCCACATTTTGAATTGCAAGTGCGGAATATTTTAAACAACACTTTTCCTGAAAGATGGATAGGAAGAAGGGGCCAAGATCACCTAACCTATCTCTCTTGAATTTTTTCTTCTGAGGTTATTTGGAGTGTACGGAATTAAACCTCAAAATCTCAACGACTTGCGACTACGAATTATCGACAAAGTGGCATTAATTACTCCCGAAATATTACAAAACGTTACAACCTGTTTTTACAATCGTCTGGCCCACTGTCAAACTGGAGAAGGTTCACAGTTCGAACACCTATAGTAAACACATATTCACCCACCCACACCCACGAGCGCGCGCGCACTCACACATACACACACACAACACACGCGTGCGTGAAACGGAGAAGGTTTAGAGTCACAAAATAGGGGGGGAATAACGAACCCTAGAGTCCTGATCTCCGTTACAAACACACACACACACACACACACACACACACACGCATGCACGCACGCATACGCACGCACGTACGCACGCACGCACGCACACAAACACACACACAACACACACGCACGCATACGCACGCACACAAACACACACACGCGTGCCCGCACACACACACGCGCGCACACACACACGCGCGCACGCGCATACACGCGCACACGCGCACACGCACGCATACGGACACACACACACACACATACACATGGGATCTGATAACCATCACGTCTTCGCCGTAGACCCTGGGTAACGCAAAGAACGGTAACGCAATAAACAAGGAAACGAAAATTTTTGTTTTATGATCATAACTTTCGATTGAAGTGTCATAGCAACTTTCTCAACATTTTTTTCGTCTTTAAAACATCTTTAACATAAGCTCTCAGTTGACCTTTAATGCCATTTAAGATTTTTAAGTCACCTCTGCCCTTGTGCCCCAAGGAGGTAGTAGGTGGATGTCATCCTACACAAAAAACAACTTTCATGATCCTGTACAACTTCCCCAAATTTTAGCTTTCTATCTAGATTCGTTCAAAAGTTATAAGGGTGTATCTATATTTTTGTCCCAGTCTGTATATTTGTGTCCATGATATCATATGTGTAGGATAAGAAAAATGTTTGATATACCGCTATGCGCGGTATCGCGTTTGAAGTCGCGCGCACATCTCGGTTGCGGCGTAGCGCGGCTAGATGACGGACATAGCGCGGCTAGATGACACGTAGTCGATCTACTTTGGCGGCCCGCTACCTAAAGATTGTTTTGTTTGCGGCTTTCGTTTAATGTATTGTTTTCTGCCGAACATTGGAAAGGACTAGGATATATAAGACCGGGGAACGCCGGAAGAGTCAGTCGGAAGAAGTCCGTCAGTCTGTACGACACTGGTATTTATACTAGACTGTATATTTCTTTATATTGTAATAAATATATTATCCTACAATCTTTTGGGGGCTCAGCCGGGATTACAGCCTAAAGTATAGTGCCGGTTACGAAGAAGTTAAGAAGTAAAAGAAGTGTTCCTAAGAAGTTTTAAGACGAAGCAATGACGGAACCAGGCGCTAGTGCATTGGTTGATGACCTAAGTACAAAGCTGGCGGACATGATGACGGTTCAGTTAAAACAAG